ATACTATAAAACTATATTTTAAAGCTGATAAATTCTTGTCTTTGTTGCGGTTCTGTACCCCACTGCTTCTAAACAGCTGTTTGTTGTCCTCTGCTAAAAAAAAAAGCCTAATTTAGACTCTTCTGTGCCTGAAAACTTCAGACCTATCTCCAAACTACCATTTCTATCAAAGATCCTTGAGTAGTTCAGAACAACTGAACTGTTTTTTAGAGGAAAATGACATTATGGACAATTTTCAGTCTGGATTTTRCAAATTACACTCCACSAAAACAGTGTTATTAAAAGTTTCAAATGACTTATTGATGGCAGCTGACTCTGGAAACTACACTGTGCTGGTTTTATTGGCCTTYGACACTGTGGATCACACTGTTCTTATAAACCGACTGGGAGATTTGTCTGATACTTCTGGCTCTGTGTTAAACTGGTTCRACTTATCTGAAAKATCTTTTACTGTTTTTATGAAACATGTTCACTCTGATGCTGCACTGTTATCTTGTGGGGTACCCCAAGGTTCAGACTTACCTTTTAGGAGATATTTTAAAATGTTACAGTAATATGTCATACCATCTGTATGCTGACGACATACAGTTGTTCCTTTCTTGCCTCAGAGTTCTGCAAACTGAACTCTGCAACTGTCTGTCAGAAATCAAAATATGGTTGAACAACTAACTGCAGTTAAATGCAAACAAGACTGAGACTCTTATTATTGCCCCTCATGATAAAAACTCTGTAATCAGGCAGCACCTTGCTTTTGTTGTATTATTTGTCTGTATTTATTTTTGTGGACCTGTGGACATACAGTACAGTGTTTCTGGTTTTGTTGTCCCTGCAGGTTCGCTCAGCCCTGGACCGGATCAGCGAGCTGGAGGTCAGTAACCGCCACCTGTCCAAACGTCTGGAGAAGATGAAGGCTAACCGGAATGCCTTGCTGGCCCAGCAGTGACCTGAAAGTCCTGCGAGGTCAGGGTGTAGACCTTCAGACAAAARCTAGGACCTCCGTCTTTGACTTGAAGGATCTGCTGAGGAGCTCTGKTCAGGACTTCAGTCAGTTTTTTGACTTGTACTTATGTATTGAATGTAAAAATGTGATTTTATTCTGACCTGAGAGTCAGCAGGATGCTTATGGTTCAAGTTTAGAAATCTTTTTACACCGTCTGACCTAAAATGACTCATCAGGATGAAGAGTTGAGTAAACATGAACTCTAATGCGGATTCAATGAATGTAACAGTATTTGCAGCTTCTGTTTCAGTTTTTATTAATTTTATTTTCATTCATTAGAATGACAGACATGAAATCTGTTCACACACATCTTTAGTGATACACGTAATGTTTTCCAGGTAAATTAATCAATTAAAAACAAAGCTGAAACTTAAACATCTGAATAAAAACCCAGAGGCTCCGCCCCCTCCCTCTCTGCTGAGCATCAACTCTGCCTCCTAAGTCCCGACTGGATCGACTGCACATGTTATTTTTATGTGAAATGCTTTTAGTAGCTCATATCTTTTTTTATTTATTTTATTTTTAGTTCAGGCTGAAGTTTTTATAAAAACACTGCAGCTGATTTCAGGTGTAACTTTCTGACAAATATCTGTTGAATCAACTGAAACTTGTCCAACTCAACCCAAACTGCAGAAATATTTAAACAGGACCTTTCTGAACCGAGTAAGTCTAAGTCTATAAACGTTATCAGCTCCAGTGACAGGCAGCCCTGACAGAGTCCAGCTCCCACCCTGAAGGGGTCCGACTTTCTGCCGGTAATGTGAACAAAACTCACACACTGTTAGCAAAAAGACTCTGTTATAGTTGCACTTCTGAATGTTGCGCAGGGCTCCGCTGACAGGATACAGACCTGAACGAGTGGTGTAGGTGTTCATACTGGACACTTACGTTGGTGCAGCACTCTTCAAAAGGACGTGTGACATACTGTTTAAAACGTGTGGAAATTTGTAAAAAGGAGAACAAACTCTTGACACCAAGTTACAAAAATTGGGAGGTGTGTGACCAGATGCCATGACACCACATGGGGCCAGCACGCAGGGGCGGGGACTGTTGGCATGCACATCAACACACCGTGTTCAGTACATCAACTATAAACCAAGCTTAAGGACTGAATGACTCGAAACAACGGACTCACAATCCCATACTCRCAGAGCACCCCCAACAGTGTACCTCAAGGAGCACGGTCAAATGCCTTTTCCAAGGCCACGAAACACGTAGACTGGATGGACCAACTCCCGTGACTCCTCGGGGACCCTTGTGAGGGTAAAAAACTGGTCCAGTGTTCCACAGCCAGGATGAAACCTGYATTGTTCCTCCTGAATCTGAGGTTCAACCATCGATTGGACTCTCYTYTCCACAGTACCTCTGAATAGACCTCATCAGGGAGGCTAAGGAGAGTGATGTCCCTATAATTGAAACAAACTCTCTGGTTCCCCTTTTTGAAGAGRGGAACCATCACACCGGTCTACCAATTCAGCAGAAAAGGTGTCGTCAGCAACATCCAGAGCTTTGAAGAACTCAGGGCAGATCCCTTCAGTGTTGCCAGACGAATGATAAATTTTGTATTTTGTCTGAGAATTAAAAAAAAAMCCCGTAATGTACAATAACTTGACCTCTTCAATGCATGGCTGAATTAACCCGACACATGTCTGACATGAAAGAGGTGGAGGGTACAACATTGTCATTATATTTAGGAAGTTTTTAGACCCCTCTAGTGACTGTTTTTCAGAAAAGAGACAAGCGAAAACCTAGCAACGAGCATCGGACACAGAAAGTTATAAGCTGTGGCAGGAGGTATTTGTAGTATTTGTAGTTTTGAGCCACTCTAGATTGCACATTGGATATGTACAATAAATTTCTACAAAAATACGATACTTTAAAGGCACAGTGTGTGGGATTTTGTCAATTCTTTTAGCCGAAATTCAGATAATCACTAATGACAATAAAAAAACATGTCTAATCATTGCAGACAAAGACATTGTTTTATTATTTTTACCTTATAAAAAGCTGTTTATATCTCCATGGTCGC